AAAGCATCAGAGGTGATCTGTGGCCAGAATGAGAGTTTACTAAAGTGTCAAGTAGTTTTGTGGCCAGCGTGAGGGTTTACTAAATAAAGTGTCAGAGTTGTTTAAAATCTCCAGGAACCACATACGTAAGGAGGAGTTTACTCCCACCGCTGAATTCTCTGTGGATGTATGTCAGGTACTCATGGAAGAACAGGATGCAGGTTTTAAGACCTTAGAACGCCCACCTCCAGCTGTGCATGCATGTAGCCCTGCTCAGATGCCTACTCTAATGAATGCAGCTTTTCAACCCCTTGAGAAAACACACCATTCTCTACTTCAGGGACCTGGTGAAGAGCTCCTGGGGCTTGAGAAACAAGAAAAACTCATACCCTTGGAAGAGTGGTAAGGAACTGTCCTAGGTAAAGATCATACGCAATCTCTATTGTTAAGGAAGGACAAAGTCACTGAGAATTTGTATGTTTGGTATTTAGGAGCCCTCCCCATGTTTGAAACCAGACTAACGCTATATTAACCACTCCTGGGTGCCACCTTTAAGTGGTCAGACATTAAGCATCAAGTTAGGAGACCTGTGAAAAGCAGGCCTGAAGGTGAGGGTTGAGAAGACATCAAGGCAATCCTCCAGACACCAGCCCTCACAGAAATATGAAGATTTAGGGGAGACGCCTCAAAGCCTTGTTTGTGACTGACGCTTCCTTCCTCTGTGTGCACAACAGGCTCTAAGTATCTTCAGTGCCGTCACAGCTGGTCTGACTGAAGCTTGGGTTTGTCATGGGAGGTCTTTGGGTCTCCATCAGTTTGTAAAGATAATTTGACAAACCTGGGTAGCAATTATTTGCTTCAGGGCTTAGATTATACCCTTCTAGGCTTTTTTATTTTTATTTTATTTATTCTTTTGCTCCCAGAGTGTCTGTAATTCTGATGAGTTTGCCTTTGTAAGTAAGCGGACTCTTTTCTTTTGTCTTCTTTTAATGTTTTTTTTTTCTACTCCCCATAATCTTTTGAGATTATAATGTAATTATACCACTTCTCCCTTTCCATTCCTCCCTCCAGCTGCTTCCATATACCTCTTCTTTCTGTCTTTCAAATTCATGGCCTCTGTTTTTGTTAATTTTTGTTACATATATATATATGTATATGCACATACCTAAATGCATAAAATTAACCTGCTTTAGTCTGTGTGATAAAACTTGTATGTTTTCAGGGCTGACCATTTGGTCCTGGAGTACATCCGATTGCTGTACTCTTCCCTGGGGAAGACTGTCTCCCTGCTCTCATTATTCCTTAGTTGCCTCTTTGTTTCTAAACAATCTGGATTTATTACACAAATGGAATAAATACTTTTAGAAACAAACCACACCAGGCTTCATCTGACTCCAGCAGAGAACATCGTTCTAACAGAAAATGGGTTTCTCTCTTCCACAGTTGCAGGGCTGCTGGTCCTAAGACAGTGTAGAACCTGATATTCTCTCGTGTGTGCATTCTAGATTCTTGTGTTTGTGCATGTCTGTGTGTGCATGTGTGGCATGAACATGGATATGTATGTATGAGTGTGTGTGTGTGTGTGTGTGTGTGTGAGAGAGAGAGAGAGAGAGAGAGAGAGAGAGAGAGAGAGAGAGAGAGAGAGAGAGAATAGTAGCAGTAGAGATGGGACTGAAGAGCCTGAAGAGCCAAGAGCCTTGCCCAGACTCCTGTTGTGGCCATTCCCAGCCATGACAGTCTGCAGGAAAGACCAAGCTGGATGTAAGCCCCTGACTCAGCAGGATATGGCAGGTTGTGTGGTGCTCCCGACGTTGCTCTAATTATTGGGGATCAATTACAAGATAGCCTCCATATGGTAAGGAACCAATGAGAAGTTAGTGGGAGGGCTCTGGATCTGTCTTACTAATGAAGGGAAAAAGTGATAACCGTAGTTATGGCCCCCCCAGAAGGCCTCCAAATGTAGCAACCTTCCCACAGCTGCCACTGGCTAATCCATCACCCCAGCCAATAGGTGTACCAATCCTGAGACTGTTATTAGGCAGCTTGCTGATCCCAGGATGCCCGCCTTGCCCAATCTCAATATATGTTTTGTTCTCGTGCCGCCTGGGTTGTCTCCTACTCCACCTGCCATGTCAGATGGACGAGGGACCTACGTTTGAACTCACAATTAAAAGATTCCTTGCTTTTGAATTGGATCTGGTTTCTTGGTGGTTGGGGGTTTGGACTCCTGGTACAGCAGAACCATGATAAATAAGGAATAGATCCTTAAAGAGATGAGATAATAGAACATCTTGAGGACCCCACTGACCCAAGGCTTTCTCTGAGGCCCTGATGTATGGAGAAGAAACAGTTCTTTGAACTGACTGGTTTGGTGTGTTATCTTAATATACACTAGAGTCATCAGACAGGAAGGAGCCTCAGTTGAGAAAATGCCTCCATGAGATCCAGCTGTAAGGCCTCTCTCAATTAGTGATCAATTGAGGAGGGCCCAGCCTATGGTGGGTGGTGCCGTCTCTGATCTGTTGGTCCTGGGTTCTATAAGAAAGCAGGCTGAGCAAGTCAGGAAAAGCAAACCAGTCAGTAGCTCCCCTCCATGGTCTCTGCATCAGCTCCTGCCTCCAGCTTCCAGCCCTGCTTGAGTTCCTGTCCTGACTTTCTCCAGTGATGGACTGTGACCCGGAAGTGCAAGACAAATAGACCCTTCTCTTCCCGATTCGTTTCTTCCTCATTCTCTTTCATTCTGGCAATAGAAACCTGAGCTAAGACACTCTCTAAATCAGGGGCATGTTTGGCAGAGTCAGTAATCGCCTGAATCCAAGGGTTTAGGAGCTTTTCCCCGAGGCTGTCAAGCAGGAGCATGAACACAGTTACTTCTCTAAACCCAGGAATACGCTGAGCAGAGCCAGTAATGTTCTGGAGCCAGGCCTTCAGGGGAGGCGTGGCTTCGGATCCTGGGAACCCAGCCCTTCCCACTACACAAGGCTATAGTTATCAGTCCCAAGGCTGCTGTGTGTTCGGTCTGTAAAGACTTTGAGATACCCCGTGTTCCTCTTATGCAACATTGCTTGATTAACTTTCAGTGGACGTCCTCCTATTTTATGACAGTTTCTGCTGGCTCTGTCCCATTTCTCGCCTAGGAATAATACTTAAGATGTGTACTTCTTGATAAACTTGCTTGGCATAAGCTATAGCTTATGTAAGGCCTCCTGGGCCCACCTTATTTAGGTCCTTAACTCTGACCCCCGGAACATTCTCCATAGGACCCTGTCACTCAAGAACGATCTGATGGTCCAGCTCAGGAACCCGCATGACATGAAAGCACAGGGGTTAACTAGTTGGGAGGATAATGAGGACATGGAAGAGGGGACTGTGAGGACAGAGTGGAAGAAGGATGAAAAAAATATATAATGATGTAGTTATGAAAATGCCAGATGAAATCTACTTTCTTTTTAATTAATTTATATTTTTAAATCAATCTTTTCTTGTTTTAAATGCCTATGCCAGTTCCCACTCCTTCCCCTCATCCTGCCCCCCCACCTCCTCCCACCCCGCTCCCCATCCACTCCTCAGAGAGGGTAAGCCCAGCAAAGTCTGACACATCATTTTGAGGCAGGGCGAAGCCCCTTCCCTATACTTAGACTGATCAAGATATCCCTCCAAAAAAAAATGGGCTCCGAAAAGCCAGTTCAAGCACTTAGGGATAAATCCTGGTCCTGCTGCAAGTGACCCCACAGACTGCCCAAGCCACCCAACTGTCACCCGCACAGCTGTCAGAGGGCCTAGTTGGGTCCTATGCAGGTTCCCCCGCTATCATTCCATGAGCTCCCACTAGCCCCAGGTCAGCTGTTTCTGTGGGTATCCCCATCATGGTCTTGACCCCTTTACTCATATTATCACCCCTCCTCTCTACAACTGAACTCTGGAAGCTCAGCCCAGTGCTTAGCTGTGGATCTGTGCACCGGCTCCCATCAGTTACTGTATGAAGGTTCTATGATGACAATTAAGGTGGTCATCCATCTGATTACAGGGGAAAGCCAGTCCACACATCCTCTCCACTATTGCTTAGGGTCCTAGCTAGGGTCATTGTTGCAGATTCTTGGGAATTTCTCTGGTGCCAAGTTTCACGACGGCACCACAACGGCTCCCACAATCAAGGTCTCTCTTTCCTTGCTCTCCCCCTCTATCCTTCCCCATCCTGAGCATTCCATTCCCTCATGTTCTCTACTTTCTACAGATTATTTTTAAAAAGATATTGCAGACCTTTTAGGAAGAACAGAAACCTTAACAAATAGCTAAATTGGGAAGCATTGCCACCTATGTGACCTTTGTTACACGTCAGTAGTGGGGGAAGAGTTCAGCCTCTCATCCTAGAAGACAAATCTCACAGGCACCCTGGGGCTCTAGGACTTCGGGTTTTCTTTCCCAGTTTCTTTCCTGTAGAAGGAAATCCCAGACATTTTGGTAAATGTTTGAGGAATGAATGGATAATGGGTAGATGGGTAGGCAGGATTAGACTATGGAGGGATATTTACTGTGGGAAGAGCCTGTCCTCTCAAGCAGAAAAGGCTGGCTACTTGGCAGGAATCCTGCAAAGGCAGCATTTAGATATTAGGGGGCACTGGATGAAATGTAAGTAAGGTTGTTTCCAAATAGGGGCCTAGAACTTTAGGAAGCAAAAATCCAGGGATGCTGAGAAATATGTCCTAATCTTGGAGCTGAGATGCTCAGAGGCCTTGAGTTGCTCTAAAAATCTCCCATCCCTCTCTGGGGATGCAAAACCAAAGCTTCCCCTGCCTGCTAAGCTAGTCTCTGCCTCTGGGTGGCTCACAAGACTAAGGTTTGGCTGTCACAGGGAGAAAGCTTATGTAAGAAGTCCTTGGGTTAGTTTATGGACCTCTGCTATCTGAGAGTTGGGCAACGATTGTGCCAATAAGAGAGACTGAACCCAGGTGGGTGTGGCTAAGAGGTCCCACTAGATACCCAGAGAGCTCTTGGTCAGGGATTTTCAACTGGTTTTCTTATGTAAATTGGCAGAGTGGGCAGGACTTCAGGGGCTGGTCTGTGGGGCAAGACCAGTGCTTTCCGTCCAAGCACCAGACACCTCACTGGGCTCCTGAGGTACTGTCCTTCCATGATGTGGCTCTGTGCGTTGGTCCTGATCTCTCTCACTGCTTGCCTGACTCAGGGTGAGTACTTCTGGGTGCATATTTGAAATACTTTGTCCTGAGCTTTGGTGAGTATAGGCTCATTCAGGGAAATAAAAAACAGGTCCTGTGTCTTAGAGGTGTTTGCCCTCTGGACGTGGACAGAAAGAGTGAGTGAATCTAAGTCCAGAGATCTTGAGCTTTGTGTCCTTGAGTGGGGAACTTAGCTTGGCAGTGCCGGCTCTCCTTCCCCTTTGGGCTGCAGTGGGGGTGAAGTGAGGGACTGTGTCTGTGGCCTTCCCGTGGTGGTCGGTCTAGAAGAGGTATATAGAAAAGGGGGGATTTAAAATAGAGTATGTCCATGGGAAGTTTCACGTGTAAAATCATCCAAGAGCTACATTCGAAAAGACGATTTTTTCCCCCTGAGAGTTCCCTGAAAAGGGGGTGTATCAGGGAATTAGGACAGAGGGGGAATTCTTGGCCGAGATATCGGGCGCTTAAAAGAACTCTCACACAGGCTCAGAACTGAGAGATAGACATTTATTTTAGGGGAAAACTTACAAATCCGGATTCTCTGCTTTGGATCTTGATGGAGATCCCATCCAAAAAAGCTGAAGAAGCGAACCAGGACAAGGGGGGCAGAGAGCAGAAGGGGCGGGACGGGCTTAGGTGTCCGGGTAAATAGTCAATGAGGCCATGCCCCAGTAGGCGGGTAAACCTTCCTGCAGGAGGAATCAGTGTTATCAGTCAGAAGTCTGAGACGAAGCTCAGGGTCTTTGTCATGATTTACATGGTTTACATGGCAGAGAAGAGAGGAGTCAGGGGGCAGAGGTGTAACCTTAGCGAGTTGGGGCAGTTCCAGGGGACATGGGGATTTAGAGACTGTCTTTATTTTAAGTGTACTAACTCTGTGTGATCGCGGGTTAGTGGAGGAACAGGCTAAAGGACCCAGATAAGTAGGTGGCTAGGGGTATGGTTTTGGGGTTGTTAGACCCTTGGGGTGCAGTTTATCCCAGATGAGCAGGGCATCAGAGGTCAAAGCAACAGGTATAGAAAGCAGATCCGTGGTCAGTACAGTAGCAATGGGACCTCAGGACCCATTTGCGCCACTGAGGCTTCCTGGGGAACGCGCTCACTCAAGGCTTCTAAAATCATCCCTCACTCTATCTCCAGCTCCAGAATCTACAGCAGTGCTTCCCCGTTAAGGGTCATTGACTTGTTGAATTTTCTAGACTTGCCTTCTGTTTAGCTGTGTGACACTGTGAGAGGCTGGGATAGGATGTGAGGCAGAGTGAGAAAGGGTTCAAATTCAGAGAGGATCATGTCTACGCTGCGTGTTGCCCTTACACCTCGAAATACCACCTAAATTCTCTCTTCAGGAAGTTCATCCAGTCTGCTTGAAACTCCTGCTCCTTCATCTTTGCTATGGCTTTGGTAACTCCTACTTAGCGGTGTTTTTTTTTTTTGGGGGGGGGGTCATCTGTATGTACTTGTAGCACACAGTAGGTGATCAATATGTGCACATCCCACATTATTTAAGCAACATCTATATTTTTGTTTGCGCTTCCATCCCATCCATTCTATCTTCTACCCAGAGCCATTTAGATTCTTCCCACTTCATTTGGCTCATTGAGTTAGCATAAGCCACACCTAGCGGTTTCTTCTGCCTTCTCCCTCTCCTCAGGACTCTGGCTGGTCCCTACCTCCCTTCCCCTTGGCCTTTCATCTGCCACCATCCTGGTAGGTGTTCTCACTCAGCTCCAGTTGTCCCTGGCTTCACACTTGGTTGCTACAGTATACAAATGCACAGTGTGCACCCTCATTTTCATGCAGTGAGCTCAACCTATCCCTCACTGACCTCCTTCCAGCACTGAAAATCCTGTGTCTGGGGGCATCTTCCTGCTCAGAGAACCTCCAACTGCTCCTGTCTTCCAGGAAGTCAACAGCATGCCCTAGTTCTTCTGTCTTCTTTCTCATTAGGCCCCATATCTATTCAAGAAGTAAGTCTACCTTAAAGTTCCCTATATACATCTGCAGATCTCTGCAGATCTCTTTCCCTAATTATAGAAGAACTTATTCTGGTAGAGACCTCTGGGTCATCATGCTTAAAGTTATGAAATGGATGTTCTAGAACTCTCTTGTGTTCTCGATCTCATAGCTATTTTATTTATTTGTCTACTAAATAAAGCCCTCCAGTCAGGAATTCAGAGTCCTTCATGATATGTATCCAATAATACAAGATTACTGTCTACTCCCCTTGGATTGCACATGGTGGTATTCATACATCATCTTCTCTTCCCAGAAATGGCCAGTGTTATGCTGTCTCTAGGCTGCTGCACTTAATGCTCATTTGTGCTTAATACCTGTCCCTTTCCATCCTCCCACCTCTGCTGCAGGGCTGAGGCTCTCTATGATGAAACCAATAAGAAGGCCTCATTCCTTCTAATCTCTCCCTCCTATCCCTCTCCCAAGTTACCACCTTTTTCTTATGTGAGTTGTCTGTGGCCCATTCTATGAGGTCAGCATCCTGAGGATATGCTCACCTTCCTCATTGCCTCATCAGCCTACAGCTCATGTTTTCTTTATTTTACACGAAGCAAAGCCATAGCCAAGAGGATTGAGTGACTTATTCAAGGTCACATACCTAGAAAGTAACAAAGCCTACCTGGAGTCTAGGTCTGGCTTTTCTCTCCTGATGTGTCCTCTTTCTCTTGTCCAGCAGGGCACCCATCCTCACCACCCATAGTGAACACTGTTCATGGCAAAGTCCTGGGGAAGTACGTCAGCTTAGAAGGATTCTCACAGCCTGTGGCCGTCTTCTTGGGAGTCCCCTTTGCCAAGCCCCCTCTTGGGTCCCTGAGGTTTGCTCCACCACAGCCTGTAGAGCCTTGGAGCTTCGTGAAGAATGCCACCTCCTACCCTCCTATGTAAGCCACTGGGGCCCTAATAGGGGACATTGTCCTTGTAAATATAAGCAATATCTTTCCAACTGTCTTAGCCCCCTCTCTATTTGCCGTGTAGACACCATGACCAAGGCAAAGATGTGAGTAAAGGTATATTGGGGGCTTACAGTTTCAGTGGATGAGTCCATGACTGTCATGGCAGGGAACATGGTATCACTCCGGCAGGAATGGTGTTGGAGCAATAGCTGAATGCTCTTATCTTAAAACAACAGTCAAGAGGCAGAGTTGGCAGAGCTAACTGGGAATGGTTTCGGCTTTTGAAACCTCAAGCCCAGCCCCAGAGATACACCTCCTCCAGCAAGGCTATATCTCCTAATCCTTCCTACCAGTTTTGCCAACTGGGTACCAAGCATTCAAATGTGTGAACCTATGGGGCCATTCTCATTTAAGCAACTACATTGGCTAATTGTCCTTGGGGTAGTTGTCTAACATCTGTGCCTTAGATTTCTATTCTATGAATGGGAATAATCACAGATGTCTGGGGTTGGTGTAGGCCTTAAATGATTTCTATTAACAAAGAGTAAGTGTTTACACGCTTGAAGGACCCATAATTACCAGCAGTTCAACTCTGGATTGGACCTTTGAGCTCTCTTACCAGGGCAGCCACAGTGATTTCTAGGCTACGAAAAGGGTAGAATATTAGCAGGCCAGGGCAGCAGGACACTTAGCATCAATACTTTTCCCTAGACCCAGAGTTTTGAGTGTCTTTACCCAAGGGCACCCAGCATATTAGTGGTTGAAGCAGAACAAAGGTGTAGTTTTCCTAAGCTGTGTTATTCATAAAACACAGTTCCTGACCCATACAGAGTATGTTTGTCATTAGAAGTAGCACCATTGGTTGATGAAAGTGTCCCAGGGATTAGAAGATGTTTACCTGATGGAGTACTATGTCATCCTGTAGCCCACTGTATAAATCCCAGTAGGGACTTAAACATGGCATCAGTCCAGGCCATGCAGGAGATGTCATGATCACGGACAGGCCAGCATGTGAGCTCTTCTCTCCTGGGCCTAGGATCTAGCCAAAGGCTCTGGGAAGGGGACAGATGTCGAGTCCTTTTTACTCTGCAGAGTTGGAAGGTGCTAGAGAATCCAGAGTTTCCTCCGGGAAGCATGTAGACCTTCTTACACACTTATACCAGCTTCGTTAACAAACTCAAACCTCCCGGTGCAAGGTTGGGCCTCAGACAGCCTGCCCACCTTCCATCTGGTGGAACGTGGGTGTCCTCTATCTTTCCTAGGTGCTCCCAAGACCCAGAGGCAGGGAAGATGCTCGCCAAGCTCTTCACCAACAGAAAGGAGACCATTCCTCACGAGTTTTCTGAAGACTGTCTCTACCTGAACATTTACACCCCTGCCGACTTAACAAAGAGCAGCCAGCTGCCCGTAAGCATGGGGCCATTGGTCCAGCATTGGACTCTTCTGTGCCCCTGGGAGGGAATAAGGGCATCTGGGGGCAAGGACATTACAGTCCAGACCTGAATCCAAACCTTCTGTTTACCTCCAAAAAGACAAAGGTTTCTTTCCTGTCTGTTTGAGTGCATCAGACTCTGCAGGAGGTTGCCCTATATCCGAGAGTCCCATCTTACTCTTCCAAGCTCTCTCACCCTAACAAGGACAGTGATATCAAGTCTTACTTACAATGGAGGGAGAGCATGATCCCAGAGTAGCTAAGACATAATTTCAATAAATTGAAGCTGAAAACAAAACTTTAATTTAAAAAAAAATTCTATGTGATAGTTCACATGAAAGAAACTGATATTCTGGTGGAGAAAGCTCGGGCACACAGTTGGCAGGCAAGGCAATAGCATGGGCCTTTGGACCTTTAAATCAAAAAAAACAAACAAACAAATCTGTGCTGTTTGATAAGGAGTAGCAAAGGTAGCTGGAATGTCACCTTTTGACCCACAGTACCTGTGATAACTTACATTGGCCTGTGACAGAGGTGTGAGGGGAGGAGCTGCGGGCAGCCTCTTTTGCCTTTGGTCAATAATCCTGGGCTTTACTGTAGGTCTCTGTTATCAGTTACTGCCTTTGGCACAGGCAGAGGATGCCGTGAGTCAGCGTTTCTCACAGAAATGAAGGGCCTGAGATGGGGCAGGCTGCCATTTGCTGGCCAGTGGTTGGGAAAGGGGCTTTGGAAAGAGGCATCCCTGGGGTGTAACAAGCCAAATGCCAATACCCTGCCAGTCTCCATGGACAGGAGTAGGCAGAAGAGACTTTGAAATTCTGGCAGACAAAGCACTTTCTTCTCTTAGCCGATGCATGGAGAATTAGTCTCTATTTCATATAGAAGCAATATAGAAGCAACTTAGTGCAACTAAGTCCGCTTAGTGCAACTCTGGGTTCATAGTACACATTATGAGTTCTTTTAAACAAATAGGATTTTGTACTTCTCTGCTCTGTAGGTTAAATCACACACACACACACACACACACACACACACACACACACAAATTGCAAACTTTTGCATCCTTTTGACTTCAAGTGTTATCGGTCTTTGGTACACAGTAGTTTCTTAAGTAATATTAGCCAGAGGAAGCAGCAGTGAGCTGGACTGAGCAGGGTAGGAGGATTCGGGCATATGGAGGAGACACCGTAGAAGCAGGACCACTAGGCTAGTGTGCTTCTCATCGTGCAATCCGTTCCCTACAGAGAAGTTAAATTTACCATTGAAAGGTTAGTGACATTAAATGGAGTGGCAGTCCAAGGGCTGCTTCTTGCTTCTGTTCAGTTGGTTGAACACCCCAGGCATGAGGTCATGGGGTTGTGGGGTGAACATGATGTTCTTGGTCCGTGCTCTTTGCATGATGGTTTTCTCAACTTGAAATCGCTAAAGGATGGAAATGAGGAGAAAGATGGGGACATTGAGTGTCACGGCATTTTAGACTGTTCTGAGAGGGGTAGAAAGGTAGAAAGGCTGCCTAATTGCAGCCTTTCTGGATATTGGTGTGTTTGGGATGACGTCCTTGAGTCACAGCCTAGATGCAGGCAATCAAACCAGACGACATCTGCAGTCTCTGCAATTCTGCTACCAATGACCAGTGTGACTGATTATGTTATTGTCTAGGTGATGGTGTGGATCCATGGAGGTGGACTGGTGATCGATGGAGCATCAACCTATGATGGACTGCCCCTTGCTGTCCACGAAAATGTGGTTGTTGTGGTTATTCAGTTTCGCCTGGGCATCTGGGGATTCTTCAGGTGATATTATTTCCACAAGTCCTATTATTGCCAAATGTTAACACAGCATAGACCAGGACTCCCACACTGAACCCTTGGTGGGCAAACCATGTACAAACCCTAGGGATCAGTACAAGGCCTTGTTACAACCTTAGTCCCTTGTGTTAAGCCTGATATTGTTACTACCACCAACTATTATAAATAGCTATTTTAATGCTATTGCTGTCCTGCACAGGGCCAGAGTGTTCTGGAAGACTGATTAAGTAATTGTTTCTCTACAGCATGCTTTTGTGTTACACAGATGTCCTTGTCAAGTCCCAAAGCCCCCATTCTGACTGCATCTCATACCAGCTACGTTTGCACCTTTTTCCTCCCGTGACCCTGAGGCCTTTGTATCCACTGTGCCTCCTAACTGCTGTTCTCTTCTTCAGAGGCACAAACACATGCCCTGATTTGCTCTCTGTTGCTGTGTTAGAACACTGACCATAAGCAGCTTGGGGGAAGAAAGGACTTTTTTGGTTTATGCTTCCAGGTCCTAGCTTATCTCTGAGGGAAGTCAGAGCAGGAAATTAAGCAGAAACTGGAGCAGAAGCCAGGAGGGATGCTGATTCCCAACTTTCTACATCCTCATCCTCAGTCATCTTTCTTATGTAACCCAGACCTACCTGACTAGGGATGGTGCCATCCATTGTGGGCTGGGCTCTCCTACATTCAGCATCTGTCACAACGACCTCACAGACATAGCCACAGGCCGATCTGATCTGGGACATCCTTACATTCTTCCGTTAAGGTTTCCTCTTCCCAGGCGGTTCTGGACTGTGTTAAGTTGGCAGCAAGAACCAGCGCAACTCATTTACATGATTTGTTCAGGTCTCCCATAAGCGATGCTGCCTCAATGACATCTCTCCTTGTTGTGCAATCTAAAGTGCCACCCTTTAGCCCTACTGCTATATTCTCTTTACCCAATTATGTTTTTCCACTATCTGTCGTCATATTCTGTTTCCGTCTGTTGGCCTGTGGTGTACAGTAAAAGTCGGTGTAGTCAGAGGTTTCATGAGTTTTGTTCTCAGGTGAGTTGCACATTTTAAACCCTGGTTGTATGCATGGTGGCTCCTGACCACCTGGTTTCTGGACAGTGGGTGTAGATCCCCACTCTGAACGTTGCTGTAGGGATGAATAGCAGGTGAATACCCTTGTCAGTGATGTGGGACTGGCTTTTTTTCAGAAGCCTCACATAGAGTCCCAATCTCTCTCTAGCCCTTAGAATACAATCATGACATTTCTAAATCTACCCACTACTGTCTTACAGCACAGGCGATGAACACAGTCGGGGGAACTGGGGTCACTTGGACCAGGTGGCTGCACTGCGCTGGGTCCAGGACAACATTGCCAACTTTGGGGGCAACCCAGGCTCTGTGACCATCTTTGGAGAGTCAGCAGGAGGTGCGAGTGTCTCTGTTCTTGTAAGTGTCCCTGATACCAGGCCTCGTGTCCAGGCTTGATGTCTGTTGAGGAGATCTCTTACGGACCAGTCAGTCCGGCCTTGGCACTTTTGCTCTCATAACCTGGATTCAGGTTGACTCCACTTATCAGTCAGCATCAGATTGATGGAGGTGGGTCTTGTATCTTATCTGTTGATTTCATTGGTTAATAATAAAGAAACTGCCTCGGCCCTCATAGGACAGAAAATTAGGTAGGCGGAGTAGACAGAAGAGAATGCTGGGAAAAAGAAGCTGAGTCCAGACAGACACAGGTTAAGATCCTCCCTGATAAGGCAGCTCGTGGGCTACACAGAATATTAGAAATGGGTTAGAACAATATGTAAGAGCTAGCCAATAAGAAGCTGGAACTAGCTGGGCCAGGCAGTGTTTGAAAGAATACAGTTTCCGTGTAATTATTTCGGGCATAAGCTAGCCATGCGGGCGGCCGGGTGCCGGGGATGGAGCCCTGCCGCTCCTATCTCAACATCAGATAGTGTCTGGGTAAAGATTAAACTTTCCTCAGCTCCCAGGGAACTCAGAGTTCAGCTCTGTGTCATGGGCCATAAAAAGCACCAGCTGTACACTGCACTGTGCCACCTCTGACTTATTTAGATTCTCTTTGCTAATTAGACTAACATTGGGGTTGGTTTCTTTCAAGAAGTGTTGGGTGTAAACTCCAAATAGGAAGGGGGAGGGCATGAGTGTAATTATTTGGTTAAATCCTGGGTCTGCACAGTGAAAGGACTCAGGCACTCAGCAGCATGGGTCTGCACAGTGAGGGACTCGGGCACCCAGCAGCCTGCGACTACACAGTGAGGGACTTGGGCACCCAGCAGACTGGGACTACATAGTGAAGGGAATATGGCCCTCAGAAGAAGCAGGCCTGTCTTCAGATAGTCTTTCCATGCTCAGGAGGAAAGGTGGCAGTCCCTGGGACTGAATTATATGGTAGAAAGTGAGACATAAAACTGGAGGGCATTGAGGGGAGCAATGGAAAGCACTGGTGACTTCTAAGACCACCCTAACTCACTCTGAGTTGAACAGAGAATCACCCCATCACTGCATCTTCAAATACACTAATTTCATATTATTGATTGTCAAATGAAGCTGGGTGATGGTGCATATCTATAATCCTGTCACTCAGAAAGCTGAGGATTAAAGGCCACAAGATAAAGGTCAGCCTCGACTAAAGAACTAATTCTTGCCCATTCTGGGCTATTTGGCAACAAGTGTTTTCTTAAGTGGGAAGCAGTCTTCTGTATCTTTTTTTTTTTTTAGAAATGCAAAGTATTCCAAAGTGAAAATAAAGCATTATTTACCCAATCACATTATACCCTTGGACTATTTCTAATTTTAGTATTACAAATAATAGGAGCACACTTATTTTTTATGAGCCTCTGTGATCACTTTTCCTGGGATAAATTCTGAGTAATATAATTCTGAAGCAGAATTTGTGACTAAGAATTGTCCAATTGTCTTTCCAGTGGTTCGATTGTAGAGAAAGGCTTTTGCCATGTTCTTTTTGTTTGGTCCTTGTTTTGGACTCTGTTTTCACTGTGTTATGTGTCTCTTTGGAGGAGGTGGTTCCAGGGTGACCCTAGGAACAGGATTCTTTTATGCCCACAGCGCACCAGGGTCCCTAGATGAATGGCCACGGCAGCAGAGCAGATGGGCATAGCCCTAAAGAGTAAGCGAATCTCAGATCATTCCTTTGTGTGCAAACCCTCTTCTCTGCTCCCTGCCAGGTGGTGTCCCCGCTGGCCAAGAACCTCTTCCACAGGGCCATCTCCCAGAGCAGCGTCGTCTTCAATCCTTGCCTGTACGGGAGGGATGCCAGGCCCATGGCTAAGGTAGGAGCTGCCTGGGACAGCTACTGCACCCTTTAGTCTACCGCCTTGGGTCCTCCGTGGTCTTTCTTGCTGCAAGATTCAGCTGAGGCTCTCAAGGGATGCCTGAATAAGAATGAATGAACAGGAAGGGCTGGTTTATTACCCACATCTAAGCCACATTCTCCACTTACTAAAGGTTCCATGTTGAGTATGGTATCCAGGCCTCCAGCAATTCTGCACACATTTTAGTGTATTGGAGACATGATCACGTCCTGTGCATGTCACATCTAATCACCATCCTGAGCTGATGGAAAGTGAAACACAGGGAAATTGAATGAACGATCTGGCAAGTGATAGAGGTAAGGCTAAAATCAGGCAATGAAATTCTTGATTTTAAACCTTTAACATCTAACAGATTCTTAAGAGGCTTTTTATTCTTACAATATCCTTCATCCTTTAGTGGTCCTGGCAATGGACACTGGGCCCATTTTTGTCAGAACAAGGTAACAGAGACATAGATACTGTGTAACCAGCTCTATCCATGTCTAGTCAGCAATAGAGGTTACTCTGGTACCCAGCCCCCACACTTGTTCCTTTAGACTACTTTCAGCAACCCTCTATACCATCTTCAGAAGTCAGGCCCGGGCTAGAAGCCACAGTCTACATGGAGGGAGCCAAAGGATGTGCTCTTGACCCCTGTTCTCTTATAGAAAGTGGCTGCTCTTGCTGGCTGTAAAACCACCACCTCAGCTGCCATGGTTCACTGCCTGCGCCAGAAGACAGAGGATGAGCTCTTGGAAGTCACACTGAAAATGGTAGGTGTGCCCACCTTTGTGTCCCTACCCTGTGATCTTGGCCAAAGGCTTGACTCATTCAGCTGTCTTCTGAAATAGCTTGTCCCTTCTCAGGACAGTGTCAATATTGTGATGTCAATTAGTTCTCACTGCTCCCTCAACAGGAAATAAATGTAAATAATAAATAAATAAATGCATTTAAAAGTGCTCAATAAGCCGGGCGATGGTGGCGCACGCCTTTAATCCCAGCACTCGGGAGGCAGAGGCAGGCGGATCTCTGTGAGTTCGAGACCAGCCTGGTCTACAGAGCTAGTTCCAGGACAGGCTCCAAAGCCACAGAGAAACCCTGTNCGGATCTCTGTGAGTTCGAGACCAGCCTGGTCTACAGAGCTAGTTCCAGGACAGGCTCCAAAGCCACAGAGAAACCCTGTCTCGAAAAACCGAAAAGAAGAAGAAGAAGAAGAAGAAGAAGAAGAAGAAGAAGAAGAAGAAGAAGAAGAAGAAGAAGAAGAAGAAGAAAAGTGCTCAATAAGAACATTATAGGAAATTCCATGATCATCCTTCAGCTTATCAAAGCTTAATATCATGGTATTCTTATTTTCAGGTATATTTTAAATTATACTTCTACACCTAATCACCAAAGTGAATTAGGGGTGGTGAGGGCATGAAATACCAGGCTTCTAAGACAAATGTCACATACAATCTAGGACTACCTGTCCTGGAAGGTATCACCCACAGTGGGCTGGGCCCTCCCACATCAATCATTAATCAAGAAAATCTCCCAAAGACATGTCCACAGGCCAATGTAATGAACGCCATTCTATAATTGAGATTCCCCCATCTTAGGTGACTCTAGTTTGTGTCAAACTGACAAAAATTTTCCAGCGCAATATTTTCCCAGCTTTCTACTGTCTGTTCATTCATCCTTTTACCTATTCTATTAATTAGTTTTTATTAGTCTAGTAGAGATCCATCTAAAATGTTTAATTCTTCTATTTTCAATCTATTTCATCTCTATTACCCATGTGACCAAATTGTATCTATGTGCCTTCATGCAGACTTTCAAAACCATGGTCTGTAGGATTCCTCTAGAGGCCACAGAAGCTCTATGGCACTGTGTTATTTCTGGTTGTCCATGAACTGAGCCAATGTGAACATAGGGCTTTCACTGTTAGGCTTAGGTTAGGTGTTACAAGAATTAAGAGAAGGCTATTGTCTAATACTCAAAGAAAAGGCAACTATTTCAGCCACTCTCCATATGACACAGGGGACTCAGCTTGCACAGGAATGGCTGGTGACTTTGAAGAAGCCAAGAGAACCCCATATCCAAGAACATGCTACAAGTTTTAGGATCTTGTAGCAGGACTTCCATGATTATCTATTGGTCCCAGCATGCATGCACACATACTTATATGCATGAGCATGTGCATACATACATCATACTCGTGGATTGTGGGACTCCAATGCACAATGGAGGCATTGTAGCTATTGTTTCCCCTATGCAGGTGAACCCAGTTAGCTAGAGGGTAGTGATGTAATCACTGTCAACCTTACAATAAAGAAAAGCACGGGTTACAATGAGTTCCAGTAATCTTGGAAGTGTAAGTTTTCTGGTCCCAAATGAGAATGTTCTTCAATGTCCCCTGAACAGGAAAATGAATGCTTTGTAAGAGACTCCTTCAGCAATTGAAATGTTCTGGGACAAATGGTCTAGCCCAGGATATGTCTAGATGTTCTGAAAATACTTGGGAATACACCACGTCTATTACTCAGTTTTCTGTTTTTTTCTTTTTCTTTTTCCCAGCATTTCGGAGTCATACCCTATATGTTTAGAAGACATTTTTTTCTTAATTTAAAAGATAGACTTACTGTAAACTCAGGTGGACTGACATGGTTTATCCAAGATTTCTGACTTACATGGAAGTAAACTGTCGCGGAGGGGCAGGCTAGGTGCCCAAACACCTGGGAAGACATGGCGCTGTTTTAAACCATGCAAGGGACCTTGTGGATTGTACTAGAGAAGTGAAGGGTTAAGATGGGGTTGTAATCTGGAATCTTCTTTACCTGTCCCTCATACCTGAGATCATGTGTAGTTGCCTGAATTCACGAAGCAGGAATGAGGAAAGGGGGACAGTGGTGGAGGGTCTTCTAGTCTATCCCAACTGTAGCTTATCCCTACAACTCTGTATGCCTCCTACCACCACCTTGACCTAATTCCACTACTCTGCAGAGGAGACATTGGGGGTATTGTCACCAGTGAGAGGAGTTGAGGTGAGGAGCACAGCAATTGGAAGCAGGCATCCTTTCCAGAGTTCTTAAGACCCTGAGTGGGTCCCAAAGTCTTTGCTGCCACTACCCTTTGCTGCCACTACCCCATCATTTGGATCCTCCCTGTGACCATGCTCTGAGGACCCTGACCTTGTTTCAAATCTATTTCTATGATATAATAGCATGAGAAAGCAATTCCCCTAGGGAGAAGGGTTTATTGTAGCTCACAATTCCTGGTTATAGTCCATCATTGTGGGGAAATCACCATGGCAGTTGATTGAAGGAGCGAGTCACATCACATCCTCAGTCGGGAGCCGAGGTGAATGAACGCATACATGCTCTCTTGCTTGCTTGTGCTAAGTTATACAATCTTATACCTGGCTAGCTGCCTAGGAAATGGTGCCCCCTACAGTAGTCTGGATCTTCTACATCAATTAAATTTCTTAGGACACTTTCCTAAAGACAAACCCACATCCCAACTCAACGTAGAGTCTATCCCATTGACACTCTCCCCACGAGTGGTTTTAGGTGGTACCAAGTTGACAATTAGAGCTGACCATTAGAGACTTAGGATAAGGTTCTCTTGATCTTGGGCCTAGCCAAGGAAAACTCTAAAGAAAGAACCTAATACTTCTAAGGCCAAGCTCTAAATATCAGCTTTGGACAAGGAAGTTTTCTCACCCAATTTCTCTGCCTTTGTTTCCACAGAAGTTTGCTACTGTTGACTTGGTTGGAGACCCCAGAGAGGTAAGGGCCTTTGCTTTCTGAATTACAGGTACTGAATCTTATATTTAAGGACTAATACTCATTTGTAGAACAGTACTATTATCTGTGTGTGCAAGGCTGAGGTCCAGAGACTTGTGATGGTAACATGATCAGGAGGACCAGGGGCAGGATCAGGATGGCCTGTTTCCCAGGCCAGTGTTCTCACTCAGCAACTCAGTGTCCCCCAGAGTCACCTGTGCCCCTCTCAGTGACATTTCCTGCTTTTATAATGATCCTATAGAGTACGAAGCACCAGAACCTTTCATGTTTCAGAGACAGATGGCTGAGGAGCCCTGGAGCCATCAATAGGGAGTACGGGTCCCCTGAAAGGACATAGGGATGATACACTGTGAAGGAGGAGACTTTGATCTCAGTGCTGAGGGTCCCATACTCTTTCCACCAGCCTGGAAACTCCAACTTTGCCCTTCTCCTCATCCCTCCTGCTCTCCTAGCCCCCAGAACTGGCCAGGAGACTAGTTCTGCAGTATCTCCAGTCATGGGTAGTTGACTAGGTTTACAGCTATGACCTCTACAGCCATGGGTAGTTGACTAGATTTACAGTACTAAGTGTGGTTTCCTCAAGCCGTATCCAGGCTTGTGGGGTATGCAGAGATAAGATGCTGTGGTGGGGCAGTTAAAATTTTCTTAAACTAGCATACAAAATATTAAGTTTAATTATGGTGTTTTCAAACAAAATAATTAATAAATACGAATTAAATTTGCTTTTAAACAATTTTGAATTCTGTACATGCATGCGATACATACTAACCACTTTTACCTCCAACCTCTCTAAAACCTACCAGCTCCCTTTGTTCTCACAAATCTCTCTCTTACATTCATAACTGCTTGTTTCATTTTGCAACCCAGTTAGATTATCCAGGGCTGTCTGTGTGATCATGGGTTTGGTGGGTTCAGCAGGTTGCATACAAGGCACTGGCTCCTCATCACTAGAGTCTATTAATAGTCAATAATGCAGAGCTAAATGACAGAACCCTTCTTCCTTGACTTATTATTGATAGGCCCTACCTCGTACAGGTGCAGTGCAGGTTATAGATTATTAATAGAAAATGCTGTCTAGAGAAGGTGGTTTCACAAGCGTCTTCCAATATTACACACTTCCTGCCACATCTTCCAGAATGTTCCGGAGCTTTGGCAAGTGTGGTATTCATATCTCACTCAGGCCTAGGAAGAACAGTCACAGATACTATATTTCCATTTTCCCAGAGCTATCCGTTCCTGCCCACTGTGATTGATGGAGTGTTGCTGCCAAAGTCACCAGAAGAGATCCTGGCCGAGAAGAGTTTCAACACTGTCCCCTACATGGTGGGCATCACCAAGCATGAGTTTGGCTGGCTCATTCCAATGGTGAGAATAAATGGCCCCTTATACAGGTGTGCTCACAATCGCAACCATCATGAAACCCCTGCTGCTCAAATGCCTTCTTCTTACTTCAGTGTTCTTTGAAACCAGAACATAGAAAATGCTGTCTAGAGAAGGTGGTTTCACAAGCGTTCACAAATGTCCCCATTGCCATGAGTGGGTATTTCCATGACAGTATCACCCAGAAAGCCCATCTATCCTATGGGAACCTTAGTCCTGGAAACCCCTCTCCCCAAACACTACCTTTCCTTGAAAAGTCCTGAAATTCATAAGCTGGAAGGGCCAGAAATAATACCCATGCTGATGGAGCAACAGAGGACATCTATGAAGGAGAAGATGCTGGAGGGCAGGGGTCAGGATGGAGCTCAGCAGCTTCCACCTTAGAGTTGAACTCTCGGGCCCTGGGAGATCTCCACAGGGGCTCTGAAGAGCTTCAATTGCCTAGAGTCAGAGGCAAGTAATTGAGTTAGTTCTGAAGTCCAAGCAGGATTGACTCTTTAATATCTCAAAGAAAAGGCCAGACTCCAAGAAATCCAACTGGGTACGTTCAGCTTACTTTTGGTAGAATGACTGAAATATGAAAAAGAGAAGGTGTGACCTGAGTCCGGGTCCCTGACTCTGATATCTAGAGAGGTTTCAAGGTCGGGAGCTCAAGGAGTGACGTGAGCATTGATTCTGGCACAAGGCTATTGAGTTCGGTTCATGCTCTCTCCTCAGGACTGAAGTTGAAGTAAAACTCTCACCACAGTGAGTTTGCTATCCTCCACAGCAGCCATAAAAGAAATCAAATATCATTTCCCCCAGATGTTTACATTTCCAAAACTTTTCAAATGTCAAGCAATTTTTTTTCTCAACTCTCAAGAAAGTAATTCTGGAAGAAATTATTAGCTTGCAGGACAGAGAACGAACTGGTAACCACAAGCATTTTAACTCTCCAAGAGAGGGCTCAGGGGCGAATCTGCCTATCACCAAGTGCAGGCTGAAACATAGAGTAACTTCCTGGATTGACTGCCCTGAGCTGGTGTCATGCTAGGGCACGGCCGTTAGCTGCTAGAGTAGGGTCTCTGATTGCAGATGTTTGAACAAGGTATGGACACACCGATGGCGCTATAACTGCTCTGGAGAAGAGCTTCAGGGATAATAAAAAGTGTACAGTCACAGGGCTGGCTTTGGCTTCTTCAGTCACCTGAACTGTGGGCAAACACACACACACACACACACACACATTGAAGTATTTATAAACAGACAGATATAAAATATGTTCCTTACAAAGAAGATATTTTAATATGTATGTATATAAATATGTACTATATTAATATAGACATTATTTAATAAATGCACATATATCATATATACAGTATGGGATATATAATATATTTAATATAAATATAAATAAAATATGTTATATATTATGCATTCATGTTTATATTCATATTGTATATGATACATATTATATTTTACACATTATATATACACAGCCACATACACCCGCGCACACACACACACACACACACACACACAACAACCTTAGTGCTTCTTATTTGTTTCATTGGTTACTTAATCAAACATGAACTCTCAAACCAATTAAGACCTAGGAGAGAAGTTTCCTTCTGTATTGATTTGATTATTCGGCTTTTTTGATTCTTGTCATTTCCCCAGAATTCACGACTGTTCATAAACATTTCTTTAACAGTTTCAGGGCTTTCCACTCTCCGAAGACAAACTGGATCAGAAGACAGCCTCTTTCCTCCTGTGGCAAGCCTACTCCATTCTAGTAAGTGTTGAGGGAATCATGGAAATTGGCTGAGAAACAAAGAAGTCTGTATATTTTCCCTGAAAGGCACACTTATTCAGTGTTTGAAAAGGCCTAGGTGTGAGGCTCAGCTCCAGCTTTGCTGCTTTTCCCATGTTAAAGTCCTTGGAAGAAACTCACATGTGTGAGTTGCAGCCCAGCCCCTCCCGACTGGTGACTGCAGGCAAGTTCCCGGAAAACAATGGAAGTTAGGAAATGAAATAAGATGGAGGCAGGGATTGGTGGTATAAGACTTACATAGGTGCTATGAGGCGGCAACTGGTGGTTGCGGAGTTTGTGTTCTCTGCACTTCTGACACACAGGGTGCTGTTATCTGCAGGCCCCTGGGTGCCCACGAAGCTAAAGAGAAGCTATAGCTGCAAGACTTATGAGTTGTATCTTTTCTATTCCATTTCCCAGGAATATTATATTTTGAAGTTAATTTATTGGATACCAAAAGTGTCTTTCTTCAGAGAACAAGGAGAGACAACAAAACTTGCTCTTTCTTAAGGACACAGGGTGCTATACGTGTGTGTGTGTGTGTGTGTGTGTGTGTGTGTGTGTGTGTAGAGGAAGGCACCCTTCATTCAGGACAGAGCTGGAGAAATCACCCACTGGATAGCAGCCCTCAAGCCATTGGGTGGCTTCAGTAACATGAACTTTTGCCACTGAAGCCAGTGGGACGATGATGATATATTGCTGGGATGCATAACCTCCAAAGTTAAAATCTATTAAAACCAAATGACTCACCTAGAAAATTCATATTAGTCTTCCCTGGGCCACACCCTCCTCCAAAAGTTGCCTTCTTATTCACTCACCACCCAAACTAGGAGAATTTGGCCCTGAACTCAAGTGGCTCAGGAGCAATGAATCCATGGCAACCATCTGGGGAGGCCCCATGGCAGCAGGTTAGGTGGCCACTTTCTGTTCCATTTCAGAACGTCTCTGAGAATCTGATTCCTGCCGCCACTGAGATGTATCTAGGAAGGACAGATGACCTGGGGGAAAAGAAGAGCCTGTTCCTGGACTTGATGGCAGATGTCATGTTTGGTGTTCCGTCTGTAATTGTGGCCCGTAGTCACAGAGGTGAGTCTGGAGAAAGGAGTAAGACCATGAACTCGCCAGACAGACCTCTAGCCTCTGCCTTTCATCATAAAAAGATATGAAATCTGCTGAGGGTCAGGTCTTGAAGGCCAGTTCCCTATGGCCTGTGAGGTTTCGTATTGCTTCTGCCAGTAAGTGTCTGGGAGAAAAAGGTTCACATGCAATTTAATCTCAGAGGTGATGCCAGAAAACACTCCAGAGAGATGAGAAAGTGACCTGGAGACCAACCTGATAAATGGCCCCCTGAGCCCCACGGATTATATTCTTAATATTTTTAATCATATTTGGTAAAATGTCATTGGAGATTTTGATGTCTATGATCATGAAGGATATTGAACTGTAATTTTATTTACCTGTAGTGTCTCTGCCCTATGTAAGCATCAAGCTAATGATACTCTCAGTAAAAGAATTTTACAGATATTTGGGAAGGATCTAAGGATTAATACCACAAGCTCTTCCCTTTAATTTGTTGTTCTGTTTATCACTGAAATTGTAATAATCTGATTTTTTTCATTGATGGGGGGACTTCTAATTACAGATACGTTCTCCTTATTGCACACTGATCTGTTCAGATTTACCATTTCTTCTTGTTTCTGTCGCCATTTTGGCTTATTAGGGCAGTTGTTTACCTGTTTTAGTCATTGGTCAGCTGGTCAGGGGCGCTTTGCTCTGTCCAGATATTAATCCAGGAGAGATTATTCAAGCACAGGTCTCTAGCAGCTCTGGTGTTTGGCAGCCTTGACTGTGGGTGTAGGCAGGTGGGGTCAAGCAGCGGGCAGCCTCTCATGTTACAGCCATGCCTGCTGGGAAACAACACGCCACACATGCCGTCCTTCGTCCTGCAAGCAGTTCAGCTCCTGTCTAGGCCCAGAAAGCCCGGTCTCCCCAGTCCTTTGGGTATAGGCATCGAAATTCCTCAGGTTTTAGCAGGAACCAGTGTTGCAGCTCTTGTGTGGGCCCATGAGTGTCAAGTTCCTTATCCCCTAATACTGGTCGGTGTCACAGCTCTGGCTCTGGACCCAGGGTCTGAAACCCTTTGTCTAAAGGACTTGGTATCTTTTGTAAACATCATCTGTCAGCCAGGGTCTGCAGTCTTCCTTTTCTAGCACCTTACTGTCTATATCCCTCCTCGACCCAGGTTCCCCACCGTCTCCCGCTAACTCTCCTTCCGCTGTCTTCCTGGCCTGGCCGTTCTCATGCGGCTCAGCTGCTTCCACTTCAGCAGCTCAGCCTGTCAACACCTCTACTGCCGGGGCCTTTTCTGTGGCTCTCCGTTGTCACTTTCTTGGTGCTACAGCGCTGCCTGCATGACCGATAGGCAAGAGAAGAGCTCTTCAAAGTCTCACACTAGAGCTGATGTTTCAGTACGGGAGGAGGGAGTATATGCGAGCATTTCTCAGCCATATCACCAAGAAAGCATGCTAGCGTCCAGAGAAGGTGTATTTGTGTCAAGAGGTCTTAGGTCTTCTCCACTAGTCGCAGTGGCCATCTGCTATACGGGTGGACATGGCCTTAGGATCATCTAAGAGTTCACCAGTGGTGTGACAGCAAAATGTCTGGGACAAGCTATTTCAAACTGCCTTGGGGATGCTGAACCCTCAGTAGCCCCTGCTCTCAGTTTTCTTCACTGTTCGTCTCAAGGAATCTGTGGAGTATGTAAGTAGGTTAATGATGACTTAAGTGTTGTTTAGCTGGCTGAGTGACAGTCCTTTAGCCTAAGGACGCCAGTACCACAAAAGGGACCCCAACAGTTATATTAGAGAGTCAAAAGGTTCCCCCTTCACCATATGTGCTTATTGACAGGAAAACTGACCGGAGGAACGCTCACAATAGCCAACAGAATATATCATTGACACTGATGGTGGTTGGAACCATCTTAAGCACTTCCCCACCACACTAGTTCATGGAAGTCCCCTTCAATGACACAATTCTTTCTGTTATCCAACTCTTGGGCATCTATTTGTCTGTAGTGGCCTCTTTTGATGCTGGGATGGTTCAACAAACATATTCTACCACATCTGTTGAACATGGTTCAACAAATGAACAAACTTAATCCACCACTTAAATAGACTAAAGAGCAGAAACCACATGATCATCTCATTAGACACAAAAAAATGCCTTTTACAAAATCCACCATCCATTCATGATTCCCGGAAAAGAATAGGGATACCAGGGAACATGCATCAAAATGATAAAGGCAGCATTCAGGAAGCCCACAGCCAATATCATTCTAAATAGTGAGAAATTCAAAGCATTCCCATTATAGGCTTATATAGGGATCCTTAACTGAGAGCCACACCCTAGCTCCGGGGATTTTCAGCTGTAAAACCCACCAGAAACCACTCTCTTGCCATCAGGAACTCAAGAGGGTCTCGTGCTCAGAGCAGCTGCAGGCACAGGAAAACAAGTTGTTTACTCCATTCTCTCTAGCAGGCAAAGGGTCAAGGGGCCAGGGGTCTGCAGCCCCCAACAATGGTCATCTTACACTTGGGCCAAGCACACAGATGGATATGAAGCAAGAAACCTCCAGTTTCTGCATAGATTTTGAAAATTTAATTATCCTAATTTTCAGAGAGGCAGCCTGGGTTTTTTTTTCATCCTGCTCTACAGGGCTAAGAAAACCCTAAGGATGCTCAAAGGAATCTGGAGAAAAGACAGCTGTGTGGTTCTAGACTGTCCTTGAACCAAGGCACAGCTACATTATCATTAACACACATCTGTGTATTTATTGCATGCAGGGATTGCATTCATTGTTCATCCAATAAACACCTGTTCAAAATTCTAATTCCACATCAACCAGCTGTGGGGCTCTAAACAAGCCACTCTTAAAACTATGTTTATCTCCTCTGTAGATGAGGCATGTATTCAACTGCAGAGCCTGAGAAGTGTGTCTGGAAATGTGACCTGTGCATGAATCCATGTCTCCACAGATGCTGGAGCCCCTACCTACATGTACGAGTTTCAGTATCGGCCAAGCTTTGTATCAGACACGAGACCCAAGTCTTTGAAAGGAGACCACGGTGACGATCTCTTCTCAGTATGGGGAGCCCCGTTTTTAAAAGGTATCTTTGTTGGCTATGACGTTGGTGGTCTGAATCCTAGGTTTGGGTCTTGGTTTAATGGCCTTGAGTAAGTTTCTCCTTTTAAACTGACTTGCGTGATACTCTGAAGCAGGACTCAGCTATAAGACAGATTCCATTTAACACACATGAATGATTGTGTTTGCACATCCCCATCCATAGTCATCCTTGGAATTCTGACTTGTGACACCAGAAAAGATCTGATGGTCACATATACACGCTCGGCTTAGGGGAAGAATGGCGCGGTTTGATTTTCCTCCTGCGAGAACATTGGAACAGGACAGAAAATGTGAAACTTTTGCTAGCCTTAACAAAGCCTATTTAGTTTCTTTCTATCTGGCTATCTATATATCTAAAACACATCATATATTTATATAACTCATATTATATGATAAGGGACACTTTCACAAAGGTCTCCAATACCTTTTTTCAGCAGCTGTGTGTAACTAGTGATCTCTTACAATACACCACTGTGTCTGGGAGTGTCCAAGCTGTATGGACCCTTAGGCCCTTGGCAATTCTGATCATTTCAGAATATGTGAACAAGAGAATAAGAGAGTGATAACATATCTAAAGGCCACCAACCTGGCTAAGTCAGAGTAACCAACTATCATTGACATTGTACTCCAAGAGGAAAGCACCTGGCAGCTGAACATGGAAGATAAAGGCAGAGAGCTTACAGAATAAAGACATCTGAACTTTAAAAGTGTGGGCCTGCTCAAGCAAGATTGTCATAAAAGTTAGATTTGGACTCCATAAGTATGTGATAAGGGCCAAGGCTCTTCATCTCTCCCATCCAAGCACTACCCAGACTCAACCACATTTAGTTTCTGAGATCAGAAGAGATCAGATGCATTGAGGGCAGTGTGGCCAGAAAAAATATTGTATTTCTTAAAGTCTCCCTGTGCTGTGCTTGCTCTGCCTTGTAACCCAAGTCTTAAATAGTTAAAGCATCTTCCTTTTTCCTCCACAGGGGGCTCCTCAGAAGAGGAGATCAACTTCAGCAGGATGGTGATGAAATTCTGGGCCAACTTTGCTCGGAATGGGTGAGTTTGGAGATACGGTGTGAAGACTCATAGCCTTTGGGAATGAGAGTTTTCTAATGCTCGAGTGATCAACCCCTTTTCCCTATGATCTCTTACAATGAGATCTTAGTCAGTTTTGTAGGTGTGACGATATCTGTGAGATGGTTCAGTTTGAAAGATGAACTGTGAAATTTGGCTCACAGACCAGAGGTTCCAATTCTTGGGCACTTGGCTGTTCCCTCTGACCCTGTGTCAATACAGATATTATGCTGGTAAATAGGGTAGATCAAAGGTTCATACGTCCTGTTGATTAGAAAGTAGACATAAAGGATAGAGCCAAGGTTCCAATATACTCCTCACTGGTTCCCAGTGACCAACTTCCTCCAGCTTGGGGATGCTCTTAAATTTTCCATCAACTCCCAATAGCACCATCAGATGGAAATTAAGACACATATGTTTTTAGAGGAATATTTAAGCTCTAAATATCTAATATCATAACCTGTGACCTGCAGAGGCTCATGCCCATCACACAATCTCAATATTTCCAACACTAATTAGAAGTCCAAGTCAATGACTTCCTCAGGCTCAAAGGAACTCTTAGTTTTGAGTCTCCGTTGCAATAAAGGAGTAACATTTCCAAGATCCAGTGACAAATTCCACACATTCCTGTCACATGGAAGAACAGGAACGTGCCACCAAGGGAGTGTACCAAAGCAAGTCCAAACTACAAGAGGCAAATCATAACTGCTGAAGCATCTAGGGGTCTGTTGGTAGATGCAGGCTCTGAACGCTGGGGAAACTTCTCCTCTGTGGTCTTGCTGTCTGCACCTCCAGCACCTCTTTGGGACTGGCTAAACTTATGGTCCAAACATTTCCTAGGCAAATGTTCCTGGCCCTGCCAGTTCTAATTTGCTGGGGTCTCCATAGCAACATCAGCTTCACCCTCAAAATGTCATGTAACATTCTCTCAGTGTTGCTAGCAGGGGCTGAAAGCCTTCCACACACTTGCTGGCCTCCCAAACTTTCATTTGAGAGCAGGTAGAAAGAAGCCTTGATGGCTCTATTAGCCTCATATTCTACATGCTTCGAGAACAAGCACCACATAGACAATGCCGAAATGCAATTCTGGTCTCTGAGATTTGTCAGGGATCAATGAAACAGAGCTGTAGCAGCTTCCAAGTCTCTGGATGTGGGAAAATAAATTCAAGAGAATCAGTTCCTTAGGTCACTTTGTGAGGCAGGAGGTGGGAGCAGGGATCCCTAGTGCTGTCTTCTCAAAGCAAATTCTTCAAAACTATTTTATATTGAAAGCCTGCGATGGGCTGATTTGTGGCTTCCTAAGTCATCCTTAAAGTAACTTCCCTTTCTTCTTATACAAAACAGACTTGATTCTAGAGCACTAATCCACTGAGCAACAGAACTGTCCTTGTACACAATTTTAAGCATGCTCCTTGTTTGGAAAAAGTCAGGATTTCAAACCTTTATCCTGTGATTTCTGATCCTAAATCTTAGTATAAACAGACTACAATCAGCAGAAAGTACCATTGCTGCTGCCTGCAGGCTGTGCTCCCTAAAGTTCCTCCTGCTAGTTAAATAGTGCATGAACTTTGAACTCAGGCCTCATAAAATTTCAGGGAGTGGACAAAATATAGATAATTTCATTTCGACAAAGGAACATGGGTGGCTTCTAACATGGTTCCTTATAGAGACCTTATTCGCATGTCAGTGATCAGAATATTGACTTCTCTGTTCTTTCTCCCATTAGCTCCCTCTGGACCACACTGTAAGCCTCACTAATTGTATTCTGGGCATTTTGCGGTACATTCACCAAACATTTCCAAACTCTTTATGAACCAACTAACATGTCTTCTAAACTGTATCATCGGATCAATTAGATAATGCTCTACATCTCAGTAACAATTTTATGTATTAGCTTTCGACCAACTCCAAGGATGAAAGTTTATTTTGGATTCTGAGTTATGCTTGGACTTTTTATTTGGGGTCAGTGATGAGGCAGAACATCATAGTAGGGACAAGTTTGTGTAAAAAGCTCCTGTCTCTCAACAGAAAGGAAGCAGAGAGATAAAGGAATGGAGTCTGAGCACTCCTCAAGACCAGGTCTCCAGGGACCTGCTTTCCTCCAGCCAGGCTCCACTTCTTAATATTTCTACTTATGCCCAGCTAGGCATCAGCCTGAATCAGACGATGAAAATTTAGTATCCAAACCACAGTGTGAATGTTCTTAAAATGAACAGGCTCTCCCAGATGGGTTATAGAGACTTGTCCATTTGTGGAAGGTTACGGCTTCCTTGGCAGAGGTAAGCCATGGCAGCCTTGCACACGGGGAGAGCACAGTTGATTTGGTGACTTTCTATTCTGTTCATAGGAACCCTAATGGGGAAGGGCTGCCCCATTGGCCACAATATGACCAGAAGGAAGGCTACCTGCAGATTGGAGTCCCAACACAGGCAGCTCATGGGCTGAAAGACAAAGAAGTGGCCTTTTGGACTGAGCTCAGGGCCAACGAGGCAGCAGAGAGGTCAACCCAGAAGAAACATGTTGAGCTCTGATCAGGAGGCCCAGCCAGGTGGAAAGCCTGGAGCTCAAAAGAGGGGGTATTCTACATAGACATTTTGCTTGTCGGTTTGTTGTTTGCTCTACAAAACAAGGCATCTGACTGTTGAGTGTGTGAACTCTTTGATATATTGTACAAACAAAAAGAGGGAGGTGGTGGTTGTTGTACTCTCGTTTAATTTTTTTCTATAACAGTGAAAATCATAACTTTGTAAATCAAACAGAGTCTGTGTCCTTGACTCAAGATGAACACGTGTGTCTGAGAGGGAAGGTGGAGAAGACATCCAACATCCTGTGATGTCATCTCCACAGGCGGTGGGTAGGGGACTGTCCTGAATCACACTGAGGCACAGATGAGATGTTACTGGCCAATTGCTCCTGAGGAAACATGAACAAAGGCCCACTCACTCCAGAGTGGGGAGGAATGGCAGGTCAAAAGAATAATTCCACACAAGTCTAGCCTGGAGAACTAATGAGTTTATCAGCCTTCCTTGTGTGAGTGAGGGGTCTCATACCAGTGTACTGAGAAAGTAGCTGCATCATGAAAATCCTCCCTGAGCATGGTGGACAACTACCCGGAGCTGCTGAGATGGAATCCCACCCTCAGCTTACAGTCCACCCTGTATTTCCTCTAGCACACTGGGAGATGACACAGCTGGAGCAGAATAACATGGAACAGGGATGGGATGGCAAAGGGAGTGAGCAGACTCTGCTGAGGATCACCTGTGCTGAAGCATCTCCAGCTGGATTCCATACTGGTTGTGAGGCAATTTACAGGAGTATAGTCAACCTGCCAGTGGCCACATCCTTAAAGGAACAGACACTCCCTACCCTAGCAATCATAAACTTTCCAAAGGGTCTAAGCTAGTGGTAGGAGCTCTTGGCTCCTCCCCTCCATGCTGGAATGTTGACTGGCTTGATTGCCTGCAGGCAGCCACAGCTGCTGTGATGTCTGGAATGCTTTGGCCCTGTCATGGCAAGAAGACATGATTTTGCTCCAATTCCCCCTGACCCCTAGCTCTATAATCCGTCCTCCCCTCTTCCACAATGACCCCTGAGTTTTGGAAGAGGACGACACAGACGCCCCATTTGTGCCTGAGTACCCCTACTGATGCACGCTCTCTTTACATTGCACTTGTTGCTCGGACCTGGAATCAGTTCCCAGCAGCCACACAGGGACAAGAACCCTTAACTTCAGTTCCAGAGAACCCATGTCCTCTTCCGGCCTCCACAGACACAGCAGACACATGATGCACAGAACAGCATTCAGACAGAAACCTTAGAGACACGAAATAAAATTGAACAACACTCAAAGAAAAGATACATTTAGAAGGCAGTTTGATATTATTTCCATTTATCAGATAATAGTGATAGGATCACCCTCAGTGCCTATGAGCTCCCCAATCACAGGTTCTTGGTCAGATTTAGAGTAGCAGGTACGAGTTTCCTCCTCTGCAGCAGACAGTAAATCTGATTAGAAGGTAGTTGGTAATCCCATAACATTCATTCCACTATTGACTCTATGGGTCATTATTGCAGGTCACAGGGTTCACAGCTAGGTAAGGCTGTCCATAAGGCCCACCCCAGCACCCTACCTGCCACCTCTCTAGTACCATCAAAGCAAGCCAGTAGAGTGGCAGCTTCCTGCTTAGTACCAACTTGATTTCTCCTGCTATGTGACCAATGGATGTGCGTGGTGTTTTTAGTAACAGGGTCTTGCTGTCAATTTTTGTTGGGCTACCAGAGCAGTGGCAAGAACCTGTACAGTTTTGGGCGTTCTCCCAGACACCCTTGACTTACAAATTTGGTGGAGGAATCCCATACCTGGAATTCAATTTTTGTTTGGTAAATTATTGCTTCTGAGAGGAACGCTAGTCTCTATGTAGGGTAACACCAATTAATATATTTTTATATGAATATACATATATATCATAAAATAATTACTTTTCAAAAATCTTTGTTTTTAACCCCCACTCCCAATTCTTCCTTTACCCTCTCCTCCATTCCTTCTCCTCACTTAGTCCCCTCCCATTATCCCCCTCCCTCAACCCATGTTACCTGTGTTTTACAATCTCCTCTCCTACTAAGATCTTCCTTCTCTCTCCCACAAATGGTACTTTTCTGAATTCCATAGCTAGTCAAAATTAAACACAAATCTAAAATGTTGACACTAAGATTTACAATGAATTCTAACATATGACCTTTATCTTTCTGGGTCTGGGTTACCTCACTCAGCATGATTATTTTCTGCTTCATTCAATACCTGAAAATTCCATAATTTTATTTTTATAGCTGAATAAAATTACATCATACATAGGTACCACATTTTCATTATTTATTCATCAACCGATGGAATATAATCTCTTTCCATATCCTAGCTATTGGGAATAAAGCAGCTACAAATATAAATGAGGTTATGTCTCTACAGTAGGATATAAAATGCTTGGGCTATTTACCAAGGAGTTGTACATTTCCAAAGGTCATATGATAGATAGGTTGTTAATTTGGGGGACAGTGGCATGCTGATGAAGGAAGAGAACTTGGGGAGGCAGGCTGAAGGAAGACGTGTGGTCTGCAAGCAGAACAGGGACAAGCTGGGGAAATAAGATAACTAGCAACAACGATAGGGGTGGAGCAAGAAGTGCAGAGTGGGCAGCGGAAATGAGAAAAACTCTAATGACACATCTAAGAAAAGGCTGTAATGAAACCTTAATAAATGATTGATAAAAACCCACAACAGAAACTGGGGTTCAACCCGAAGACCAGAAAAATAAAGCAGCCAGCCACTGGCCCTTACATCAACCTCAGTTTGAAAATAGTGATCCCTGCCTCCAGGAATCTCAGAACGGTACTATGACTGAGAGCTGTCTCCTCCCGTTTTATAATCCTCTCTAGGCCTGGGATTTTAGGCATGCACCACTGGGATAAAAGGCATGCACCACCTGGTGTTTAAGGCAAACTAGTGTGGCTACTGGGATTAAAGGTGTGTGTTACCACTGCCTGGTCTGTAAGGCTGATCATTGGGGCTGGTTTGCTCTCTGACCTTCAGTCAAGCTTTATTTATTAAATTACAGATGAAATGCTGCTACACCGTGACTTGAAAATAATCTTTCAAAAGACATTTGTAGAGCTTAGAATCCTTAGCGCAAAGCTTGTTTCTAACAGCTAAAGCATTAGAAATAATGCTGTGTTTCTTGATTTATTTTCACTGCTATGCGGAGGAAGAGGAAAAGGTTCAATCTTCCACCAAGAAGACTGAGCTCACAACCTCCTCAGCAGATAGATGTAGCTTTTACTTCCCCAGTGTCTTTCCTGTGGAAGGAAATGTCAGTCATTTTAGCAAATACTTGAGAATGAGCGAACAGAAAATTGGATGCACAGTGATTAGAACAGTGAGGGATGGATCGGTTCAATGTGGGAGTAGTCCACCCTCAAATGCCTGCTCTACAAGGTAGTGTGTTCCCTCACAAGGTCGTGGGCACTAGCTCTTGAGAGAAACACTAAAGGCAACTCAGACAGTAAAGGAGGCAGACAAGAGTTTAAGGTTGCTTCCAAGCACGAGATTTTAGAACTCTAGTACATACACATGCAAGAATGTTAAACTGCAGATCCAAATCTTGGAGCTGAAGTGTTCAGAGGCCTTGAGTTGCTCTAAAATCTCCCATCCCTCTCTGGGGATGCAAAACCAAAGAGCTTCTCCTACCTGCTAAGCTAGTCTCTGCCTCTGGGGGGCTCTCAACACTGAGGTTTGGCTGTCACAGGGAGAAACTTATGTAAGAAATCCTTGGGTTAGTTTATGGACCTCTGTTGTCTGAGTGTTGGGCAATGACTTTGCAAAAAAGAGAGAGTGAACTCTGGGTGGGTGTGGCTAAGAGGTCCCACTAGAGGCCCAGAGAGCTCTTCGGGATTTTTTGGCTGTTTTATGTAAATTGGCAGAGTGGGCAGGACTTTCAGGGGCTGGTGTAAAACTGTGGGCAGGACCAGTGCTTTCTGTCCAAGCACCAGACACCTCACTGGACCCTGAGGTACTGTCCTTCCATGATGTGGCTCTGTGCTTTGGTGCTGCTCTCTCTCACTGCTTGCCTGACTCAGGGTGAGTACTCTTGGATAAAAGCCCTAGGTGCACATTTGAAATTCTCTTGGGCACCCGTACATGGAGCTGCATGTGGGGAATGTGGGGAAAACAGGCCTAGTTTCTAGGAGGTGTTGTTGCTCTTTGTTAATTCAAACCCTCTAGATACAGAGGGGACACATATTCTATGCCTCTTCATTCTAGATTGGGGCAGAGGGGGCCCTGGATAAGCTCCTGCCTCTGTAGCAGGAGTTAATAATTTACCTCCTATTCTTTGTCTAGGTCTCATGGGGCATGGAGAAAAAGCTAACCAAAATATTGAAAGCATAAACAACAGTAAGAGAAAGCAGGGGTGCATCCTAGCTTGTGTCGGGACTCTGTGTTCTTGGGTAAGGTACTACGTTTTACAGCCCAGACTACTGTGCTTCTAACACAGGGACAACAACATCTTCCTCATTTAACTGCATGAAGCTGAAATCAGCGGCTGTGCCCATAGCAGTCCAGAATGCAGCCTGCTCTAGAGGAGATGTAGAAAGGGGCTGACTTAAAATGTAGCAGACTCACAGATAACTTGGCATGTAAATCATCACACCAAGAGCAGCTGGTATAATTTATTATTACTGAGAAAAGCACACACCAATGTGGTGGAGCAGGAGGGAAACATTGGGGTCAGAAGGCCAGGGCAGAGTGGAAACTGGTGGCAAAGATCTTTGTCGTGGTTTATCCTGAAAAGAAGGAAGGAAGCAGAGGACAGTGGTGTAGCCTTGGCTGGTGAGGGCTGTTTCAAGGGGTTCAGGGATGTAAAGGCTGGGTTTGGTTTTCCAGTACCTAGTTTTAAATTATCAAGACAGGTTTGATAGCCCAGGGTAGGAGACCCAGTATGTGTCTGCAGTGGTTGGACCCCAAGAGTGACAGTTCACCCCAATAAACAGAGCTTCAAATGTCAAAGCAACAGGTATAAACATCAGATCCATGGTCAGTGCAGGGGTCTAAATGTGGGGCTTTGGCAACCAACTGTGTCACCCTGTGGAAGGGCCATGAGGTTCCCAGGAGAAAGTACTCACCCAAGGTCTTCGGGAATCATGCCCTGCTCTCTCTGGCTGCAGAATCTGCCACAGTGCTCCCCATTAAGGGCAGTGGTAGTGCTGGCACTTCAAGACTTTGTCTTCTCTCTGGCTGTGTGGCATTTTGAAAGTCAGGGAGCAGAGTGTGAAGCAGGATGAGAAAGGGTTCAGATTTGGAGTTGAATACTCCTGCGCTGCTGTTTTCCATGGCAACGACCTCCTCATTTCCATCTTCAGGAAGGTCAGCTGGGCTGCTTGTGATTCCTGATCTCTGACAATGGCCTTGATAGCTGCCACCATCAAGAGTTTGGTGAAAAAAAAAACTGAAAAATTGTCAAGTGCATGTGCCATACGCTAGGTGGTCAATAATCACACATTCCATACTCCATAGCTTCCAGCGTCTGTAGCCCCATTCATGCCTCTGTCTCTATGTCCACTTTTCTTACTTTCTACACACCTCAATTGGGTGGCTAACGATCTTGAGTCGACACAGGCCACACCTAGTGATTGCAGCCCAGACTTTACCCTCTTTTTCAGAACTCTTGGCAACCTCTCTCCCCTTCTCCCTTGGGTCCCTAGTACTGTGTGCTTCCTTCTCCTGCTATGGTTCTCAGTCTCACATTAGCTCTTCCCAGTGTATAAGCTTTTAATCTTCTGACTCTTCCACATTGTTCTGCTCAGATGCATAAGTCATGATGTGTACTCTCATTTTCAAAGGGATGACTAGCTGCCCACCACTGCCCACCTTCCAGCATTGAAATGTCTCCAGATCTCTTCTTAATTCTTTCCCATAATTATAAAATGGCATTCTAGTACAGATACAGATGTCTTGGTTTCCACACAAAATAGCAATGCTAATAGCCATAGACATTTCAACACACATACTTGGTAAGAAAGTCATCTCAGTGGGACGGTGACCTAAAAGCAAAGCGAACAAGCATGAGATTTGTTATTAGTAAATCAAGACATGGACACATTCCATTTTATTTCATTTAAAAATATTTATTTTAAAAATAAATAAAAAAATAAAAATAAATAAAAAATTCATTATATTTTTTTGAGGTTAAAACTATTACAAAGTTTCTCCTTTCTCTTTCCTTTTTGAAACCATACTATATAACTCTCTGTTTTTTTCAAATTCATAGTCTCTTTTTTTGTTACTTGTTGCTATACATACGCATACACTCCTATATACATAAATACAATGAGATCACTCTGTATAATATTACTTGTGTGTATGTTTCCAGAGCTGGCCATTTGGTATTTGATAACAAACTTGTGTGCCCGTCCTTTGGGAAGACTATTTCTTTTTTTTTTTTTTTAATATAATTTTTATTGAAAAAAAA